TTATAGACAATGTAGAATCTATTAATTTCAACGCATTAATAACGGTCAGACTTAACCTAAAAAACTTTATTGTGGACTCAACCCAAAAGTTTATAAACAACCTAAAGATGTCCTAAATACTTTCTAAAGATTTTTTCCTTTCAGTTTGACGACGCTTTAAAGGAGTCGTGTCACATCTATCAAAATTTTGTTGGCAAGTTGACAATTTACGGAAAAAAACATAATCGCTTTTTAGCACAGAATATCAGCAATTTCATGATAATTCTCATGTTTCTTAATGCTAAATTTTTTTTGCGTAAAATAATGTGCCGTACATCGATAACCAACCGTTAGTTCTTGAGGTCTGCTCATACGTCACGAACTAACAACATTTTGATAGATGTGTCACTGTACTTTTGAAAACGCCGTCAAACCGGAAGGACAGCATATATGCTATACCCTAGTATTTATTATAAACCGGTTTCAGTTGACCCAATACGAAAAATCCGTTCTAACAATAAGTGTAACAATTTTTTTGACTAAATATAGACCACTTTCTACAAAAGTCTTCTCTAAGAAATTGTAATAATCGAAGAATTGAAAACTAACTCTGGGAGAATACGTGCCAGTTGTAAATTTCCGCACCTGAAATGAGATTCCACTTGGCAACGAAAAATATGAGAACTTATTTTCTCTAGAATCTCCAGAGTCTCTAGAGTTAATAAATTCCATCTATAGAAGAAGGAGAGTTTGCTGCGAACGAAACAAATATATATCTATATTAAGAAGGCAATAAAAGAAAACCCGAAGGAGAGAATTCAGAAAATGATTATGAAAAGAAGAATCTTAATTTACCCCTGTTGCAAAAAAGGAATGTAATTCATATCCAGAGTTGCCATTTTAACTTCCACGAACGTGTCGGAAATAAATAGGAAAATTGCATAAAGATATAAACACAAATAATAATCACAGTCAGTTGGTGGTGGTGGTAGTGGTTTGGATTTTTTGTCGATGCGGCCTTGCGTCGGAAATATGATGAGTGCGGAAGACGCCTGTTATCAAACGCAAAGGCGTACTTTTATATCTTACACAGCTGTAGGCTCTGTAATCATCTTGCAGGCGCGGAGGCGCTACTCAATGTCATGACGCCTCTAATGGTAGACTGTTGCGCGCTAAAGCTTAGCATGGCCGCATTGAGTCAGGGTATTGTACTATTCGACACGATCGTATCGTTCGGTCGTTCATTTACCGCGCCAATGACAAGATCGGAGAAAAAGCGTGACTCTATACTTCTACCTTCTCTTTCCCCCAAACCTCGCATCTCCCTTTTGCTCACGCAGTCTTCTTTCTTTATTCCTTCCTTTTTTTTTCACCGATCGAGAGGAATGATCGTGTACGACGTACAACGTCGATAACTCTGTCATCGGTTTTTGGTCTTATTTTATCTTCCTGTTAGAACTGCGATACTCCACGCTTGGATAAAAAAAGAAAGATCTGATGATCAAATGCATTCTTTAAACACTTCAATGGTTGCACGTTCGGTAGCAATATTAATCTTTGGAAAAATAGACAAAAACGTTTAACTGCAAAAACTTATTGTATCGGTGGTAATTTTCTCTTTTTAGTAACCTTCTTTTGAATCTTAACCAACGCGAAGTCGTTCGAGATGCATCTCGTTCAGGATGCATGAGATAGAAAAAGACAAATATATTTTTTTTCTAACTCATATTTCACATTCACAAAGTAGTTGTGTTTAGACCTTTAGTATTGTGTCAGTTTTTGAACGCGCATGCGCAACTGCGATTGTGCCCACAGCTTTTATATCAACCTTGCCTTGTTTTGATGACTAACCTAAAATTGTTTTCTTTTCAATTCCCTAGCTTTTTTCTATTTGGCAAAAGTGTACTGCGAAATAAAATGGAAAATATTTTTCAATATTCAGAAATTTAATTCAAGGAAGGAATAATTGAATTTATTTTATTTATTTCATTCATTTTACCGACAGTGACAAAAGTAAATTATTAATAGTGTTTAGTAATAGATTGTAGGAGCTGGTCGGAGAGGGAAAAATGTAACCGCGAACAGCTTGCAGTACCGCAGAACATCGTGGGAGGTGAAGGAGGAGGAGTATTGAGAAGAAGAGGAAGTACACCGAGTGTTAGTAGTTGAAACAGCGCATTTAGCGAGGCTTCTGCGAAAGACATCACGTTCTCCAACAGAATTCGAGACAATTGCATTAAGCTACGGGAAGAAGAGGTAACATTTATATAGACACGATAGAAGAATAGAAAAGGTACACGCAAAATACTGGAATCGAAGTTCAAAAGAATGTCAATTGTTAATGTGACGATCAAGAATTCAGTAAAGAGGTTATTTATTCTTTTAGAGGTTTTTTAAAATAAAAATCGGTATTTAAAAATATTCTACTATTGTACATATTCGTTTAAATATTTGTCGAAAATAAATATTTTTTGAAAGGTAAGCAGTTTTTTTCTATTATAAACGACCTTCAAACAGGCGTGGCCTGGGAATTGTATCTGTCGATTGCAATGTGCGTTCGAAATGTCGATGTTCATGTATCCTGCAGTTCACAATAAGATGGCAATTAGTTGCGCCAAGTGATCTTCCGTTCAGAGTAATCATTTATATTTTTGCCTTTGGTCCAAATTTCGATAGTCGAAAGTAATGTTAGCAAAAAAGTGACATTTAAAAGCGCAGGGAAAAGTCATTTAAAACCACGAAATAACAAAAACACATAGAGGGGTAAGTTGCCATGCGTCACTTTCTTGTTTTGTCAACTGCTCAACCCTGCAGAGGCTTTTTGTCAATTGCCAACCTTGCAGGGTGAAATTTTCTAAAATATCAATAAGCAAGGTTGGGCAGTTAAAGAAATGGCACATTTGTCAACTAGTAAATAAAATAGAATAAATTACCCAGTTTCAGTAGTAGCGTTTTTCGCCACCTAAAAATGCAACGCCGATTGATGGAAATTGTCAGTAGTTATAAAAATTCTCCACAGAAAGCATTTGAGTGTAAAGATCTTTCAATGGCTCTAAGCACAATAGATACGTGAACGTGATAGAAAAAGACAAGAGTGTATCTTGCTTAGGGCTAGCAGACAGTAACCCAGTAGTGTACAAACCTATGACTTAGCAGAAAAACAGCTCGACCAAAATAAAAATATTCTTTACTCTTTCAAACTGATTTTACACTCTAATTGCAATATCGAATAAAATCACAGCCCCTTTTAAAAATTGAAATATCCTTTTTCAGTGATATATAAGGTTAGGAAATTTAAGTATCCCACCATAAATGAGGGGGAATTGTAAAATTGTCTACGTAAATTTTCGCCTTGCCTACATTTACCCAGATGAATACCTTCAAAAAGAAAAATAATCGTGTAAAAGAGGAGTATATATACTACAAAAGCAAGCAGCGTAAGTGTTAGTTGAAGAATGCTGGGAAATTCTATGTCGTTAAGGATCTTCTTCTGCCACGTAGAGTCGCCATTAAAATATTCTTACCAGTTTTATGGCAAGGTTAGACCGGCGTTTATCACACTCACAATACCATATACCTCCTTTTCCTATATTCCATAGCGATACTATGCGATTGCACTTTTTCCACTATATTCAGGTTCCACATTATTTCTCGCTGGGGCCTCGCGCAGTTACCGTTTCTCGGTAAGAAAATTGATCATAGAAAACCCATGGGAATCAAATTATATATATAGAACACAAATTTTTAAACTTAGAATATAGTTTATGTAAACTATAAAATTTTCTATCGACAATTTCAATTCTTAGCGACTAATATTCATCGATTTTTGTAACAAATTGCAGGTGAACCTGGAATTTAAATTCTGAATCGAAGAATTCAGAAGATACTTCTGACCTAGTTGTGATTTTGGTCGATATTTGGACGTCCGTTTGGGGTCCATTTGAAGTTTCGCTGATTGGTGGAATTTGGACAACTATATTCTGCTATTAGTAGTTCCAAAAATTCTCCACAGAGCGTTTCGTCGTAACGGACAATCCAATAAACTTTAGAATAAAGACGTTGGCTCTTGGTTAGGCCTAAAGTCATTAAAGACACTAACAAAGAAAGAAGAAGTCATTTAAGAAGACGAAGAAGAAGACTTGTTAGTGACAACTGATGATGGATTATCCCCAACTGAAACAGTGATTGATGCTAAAATACTTGAAAAAAAAAACCAAAATAAAGAGAATAAAAACTTAAAACAGGCAAAAGGATTTACAAAGATGTTTTAATTCAGAGGATAATTGTTTGATCTTGAAACTTTATTAATAATTTTCTAACCCAACAAAAAATTTAATTTTTTTCTTCTGCGCCACAGTAAATTCTTTGTATCTCGAAATTCTCGTTAGGTTGAGAAAACTCATTAAGCTTCTTGAAATTCGAGTTATCAAGGTTCTATAGTGTAATTGGAGCGCCTTTAGTTGGCCTCAAGCATCATCTCTGCTATTTTTTTCTAATACTGCGGTTATGTTCCATTATTTACTCTTGATATTACAAGTTACAATTAGGAAATGTTATTAACCTTTCTACATTTTGAAATTCAACGCATTCACTCCAATGTTTACTTCCTTGTTTTGCCAATAATTTTGTGAATTTGATTCGACCTTTTCCACTGTGTGCCTATTTTCAGAAAGGAAAAGTCGCGATCTCTTACATGAGAGACCGCGTAACGCATATATGAGTTGGCGGTTGAGGTCGAGCAGTGTGCTTACCCGTTAACGTTAAATAGTTGATTACCGTAATCATCATAGGCAACATCCGAGGGCAAATTACTTTTACAGTTAAATAATTTATAAAATAAGTAATCAAGACGAGTTTTGCGGGAACAGGTTCTTAAAAAACATGTTTCTTTTGTATATACTTGTACAAAATTATATATTATAATTTTTGACACAAGTTTTATTTTTTTAATGTTGAATTTTTTAAATTTAATTTTAACTATAGTGTGACTGTTGCTAAGTGAAAATAAAGTTGATTCTTACCTTAAGTGTTTGTTATGTAGAAAATACCAATTGATCAAGATCTGAAACATAAAATTCGATTCATATATTTTATCTGGTTATGAAAATATGTTTTTTATTCAATATAATATTATACAGAAAGATATTTATTTCGAACTTTTATCAAATATGATTTTGGATATTTGTTTTGTTATGAACTATTTATGCCAACGCAGAAGTGATTTTTAATCCGAAACTGAAATGGAATCCTAATCGTAATAATGAGTAAGAAAAGAACAACAATACATGTTTATCCTTCTCTTACACATTGTTACGATTGCGCTACCGTTTGCGTACCCAATTAAAAATTTATTCTCCCTTGGCCTTTAGATTACGAATTCGAATTAATTAATCAATTAAAAAAATTAATTTCCACAATAAAATTAACAATTAATTAAAATTAGATTTAAGAAAAGTAAACATTAGGTGTTTACCAAAATAACAACCAATTTTATTTCCCTCGTTTTTTAACATTCAGAGGCCTTTCACTTGGATTCATTTTAAAAGGAATAAATTACAGACTCAAAAGTAAAGTGACAGTAAAATCATGTAATAGCCATAATTCAGAAAACACAGAAAACATCAGCAACCAGAAAAATTGAGATTATATTGACTTTTGATTACGTCATAAAATGTCAGGCTGAGTTTGCAATTGATAAATAATTCTTAAATTATTTTATGATTTTTTGCCTAATAATTATTTATTTACCTTGATTCTAAGCAATTACCAACTAAAGTAATCATTTAGATATAATAAATAATTGTTTATGAACTCGTTTATTATATTTTAATTTTAACATTAGAGATGAAAGGATAGAAATATCTTCTGTTCTTTTTTAGAAAAAGGCAAACGATATTTCTATCCTTCTGTCTCTCATGTTTCATTCTGCGTAGGGCTATAATTGACAGTCCATTTTGTTCGTGTCGATAAGAAAAATGTTATTGTAGAAAGACCCTGAGGACTGGTTTTCATAGACAGGAACAAACTGCACTGTCAAAAATAATGGTCGCGCATTAATTTTCAAGTATTCAAGATTTTAGTTTTACAACTTAGTTTTAATATATTAATCAATTAAATGCAATAAATAATTAATTAGTTTCAAATTCATGTATGATATTTAATTCATTAAATTATTATATATTATTAAATTATTTAATCAGTAAAATAAGTATTTTAACATCTAAAAAGTGTCCAAGTTGACACTGTTGGTAACAATGAAAGAAGTCATTGTAGAAAGACCCTAAACAATACATGAAGTATGTTACGTACCCATCCCTGGTGTTCTTGCGCGGTGCGCCACTAATTTGGCGGTTTTTCCGCAGTGCGAAAAGATTTGTCGAGCGTCATTACTCTTTGTTTGTGACTTTGTGTATTCGAATCAGTGTGGTATTATTTGTAAAGTGTAAAGCGATGAAGAATTTAAAAATTGAAAGTCTATTGGAATTATATTCGTTGAGTTAATTAAATCGTCAACAACCGATATTTGATCATTTCTATCCAAGCAAGTGGTCAATATGTCAACCGTCAACAATCGTTTTTGTCAAGTTTCGAGTCGTCGTGACTTTGTTTGCATTCGAGTCAGTGGTTCATAGTGTGTAAAGTGATAAAGATACTTTAAAATTGACAATCTATGGGAATTATATTTTTGTTAAGTAAATCAGATCGCCAAGAATCGATATTGAAACAATTTTATCGGAGAAAGTGGAAAATTCTCAAGTCAACAATGTTTTTTATCCAAGTAAGTGTGGTAAATATTCGAGTCAACTTTTCTTTGTAAATAAATACTGAATTATTTCCTAGAGGTCGCTCATCTTTATACATATTGTTTTATACATGTAATAAATAGATTTTATAAGTGACGCTTTACGTAAAAGTACAAAGTTAGGTTATGTTGGTGACTTTTTAAGTAAAAATTGTTAAAAATTCACAAAGAGGATCAATTTTTAATGTAAACTACTGATATTTACGTATTTATTACATTCAAAATATGCAATAAAAACTTATTTTGCTTTCATTTAGTTAAAAATAAACGTTTCGTTAAAGTATGACTGTCACTACAAACATAACCAAAAATTGTTTACCCTTGAAGTCTATTTTCTTGTGGGTTATTATAAACTTATATTATACGATATTTTATATTATAATATTAATTTTTTATTATAATAATCATTATAATAATTTAATAATGAGACAAAGGCGAGTATAACCATTGAAACTATTTTTACCAAAAAGAAAAATCTAATGGACAGTCAAAACAAAAGTTAGTTCAATTCTTTAATTATTGTTACAATTTCGTATTTTAAAAGAAAAAGATAAATTAAATTGTAAATTAATTTTGGTAGAAGGATAAATAATTTAATTATTAACATTTTGAACAATTAAAAGTTGCATTTGAATAAAAATTACAATTTTCTTTCAATAAAAAACAATTTGGGTAACATAACCTACAACTTAAGAAATATTTCTTATTGAAAGAAAATTTTTATTTTTATTTATTCAAATGGAATTTGAAAATTAATTTTAGGATTTGTTTTTCTTCATTAGAAATTCAAAATACAGAGCGGCCACATGTTAGTAAAGTCAGGGAAACAAAATTTTGTCAATAAAGTCAGGGAAATGTTAGGAAACAATTTTTTGTCAGGGAAATAAAAAAAAATTGAGACTTTTCTCGACTTATTTTCAAAAATTGCGACTTTTTCAACTTTTCTTCCAAATATTGGAACAAAATACCACAATTTTAAGCAAAATAGTGCAACTTTTCTTTATTTTTATAATGCGAAAAATAACTATAAACAAATTATTCAAAAATGTTTTTGAATCACTTTTTAACTTTATAAAAAATTTTCAAATATATCTGTATAATAAAAAACTTTTTGAATTGTGGAAATTTTGTAAAATTTAACTGAAAATATTTAATTTATTTTAAGTATTTTGTTACAATTTTTAAAAATCAACTTTTTAAGAATTTTTATTGCAAATTTTGAAAATAATTTTCATGAAAAATCTTTAAAGGTAAATTTAAAAATGAAAATTAGCTTCTAATTTTTTAAAATTCAATATTTTCAATATTTTTAAATACATATTTTGAAAAATGCAAGTACTTACAAAAATAATAACATTTTAGAATTATTTTTAACGTTTTGAAGAAAATAATCATGTTTAAAAGTTTTATTTAAAATTCATCAAAAAATTAATTAGTTTTTTTTTAATTATACAAAAATTCTTTTAAGAAATTCAATTATTTTCGAAAAATTACATTAAAATATTTTTAAAAACTAATTATTAGAATTGTTTTATAATATTTTTTTAAGATTCAATTATTTTCGAACAATGTAAATAAAATTTTATGAAAATATACTTTTTCGACTTATTAAAATTCAAAATTTGAAATTCTTCAAAAATTTCAAATTTTTATTTATATTTTTCAAAAATTCAATTATTTTTAAAAGATTTTACCAAATTCTAATTGTTTGGAAATTTTTCAAAAATTGAAAAACTGTTATTTTTCAAAAATTATTTTAAAATATTTTTAAAAAAATAATTGTAAGAATTTCTTTGTAATTTTTTGAAAATATAGAAATAATAGAATTTCAATTATTTTGAATTCAATTTTAATTAAATTCCTCGAAAAATGTAATGATTTCTTGAAAATTTTATTAAAATTCATCGAAAGAATTTAATGATTTAAAAATTTATTGATAAAATTCTTTATAAAAATTAAATTTTGAGAAACATTCGATTATTCAATAAATTATCTATTTTTGTATTTAATTGATTGTAAAATATGGAAATAAATAATTAAATTCTCGTAGAATTTTCTAATAAGTATTGATTAAAAAATTTCAGTTAAAATTTTAGATAATAATTGAATTTCAGCGTGAATTTTTAGAAATAATTGAATTTTAAAAAGGTTTCAAAGTTAAAATCTTTGAAAATTTTAATTTTTCATACTTTTAACTAAACATTCTGCAGAATTAATTTTTTTCAAAAAGTTTAACTGATTTTTTTTTTATTTCATGCTTTTATTTTCTAATATACCTATAATTAATTGAAGAATTTTTTAACAAACGAAATTTCCCGTAAAATTGAATTGTAAACAAATGAATTTGAAAATTATTAAAGAACTTTTTTTTTTAATTATTAAAAATAATTGATTTGATGAAAAATTTTAGTTAAAAATTCTAAAAAATAATAATTGAATTGAATTGAATTGATGAAAATTGAAACTTGTGACCACCCTGAATATTTTTTATTGGCAGAAAATTTCTATTTTTATTTATTTATTTATTTATTTTTATTTTATTTATTTTATTTGTTTCAAATTTCAAATGCGACTTTAAATTGTTTAAAATTGAAATTAAATACTATTTACATTGAAAATTAATTTTAGAATTCGTTTTTCTTCATTAAAAATTAAAAATAGAAAAAATTTCATGTTTTTAATTTCGGTTCCGACTCTTTGTCGGATTCTTCCTTAAACGATTCAAATATATGAGCATTTAAACAATAAGGAAGACCGGCATGTGATCATGAATAAGGCCATTAATAAAAAAAAGAATCCGGTTCTTCGTCGGTTTTGGGCAAAGGCCCCTTTTTTGTTGATGACAGCATAGCAGTGGCACACTGTAGCTGACGAAAACGTTCGCGCGTAATTGCTTTATTACCTGACCGCTTAGATGTTGCGTGCAAAAGAAATAAATTCTCTTGTCAGTTTCAAATAACAACATGCTTAAATATTTTTCATCTCCGGGTTTACTGAACTCGCCATATTATAGTAATAATAATAATCTATAAAGACTATAAGAATTTTAACGTAGATAGCAAAATTATGTATACACAGAGAAAGTTGATAAAAAAAAGAACAACAAACAGAAAAAAAACATAAATAAATAGAATCTTTAAAATAGTTGTGGTGCTTTAAAGTTTTCTTTAAGAGCAACTTAAAACAGTGGTTACGATGTTCATGACAGTATATTCAAGGTCTAACTCTGTTTTTAACTAACAATTTTACTGCAGAATAAA